AAATAAAAAAATAAATAAACATTCCTTACATTTCTTCTGTCATTTCTTCCATGCAGTCTCTGCAGATGAATGTTCATCAAAAGGCAAAAGCTTGTTGACAACAAGCTAAATGTCTTGGCATTATTTACAAATGCTATGATTGTTCCATATGGGTTCTACCGTGAGCCGATACACGTCAGCGTGTGAGAAAGGGCCTCACATTTTTATGTTATATTTGGATGGGTGGGTGAGCTGAGGGGGGTCTTGTTGTAAATCAGAGTTTTTGTGCGTGAGTAAGTCAGGCAGAGAGCAGCAGCGGCTCATTTTTAGCCCGCTCCCCTCTGTTGGTGTCTGCGTCAGCCACAATCTATCCCTGGCGGCTCGCTCATCCTCTGCCACCCCCGTCCACACAGTCAGCCTCAACACACGCTTGTCTTCGGTGTGTGTGAGCGCACCACTTCCATGAGTTTAGGAACTGCTTTACTGTACACAAGTCCTTCCAGAAGGAAAAGCACCTAAAATTGGACAACTGGTGACATCCTCCTTAAATAATAGGACCATCTGGTGCAGGAAAAAAACATTCAACCTTAACAGTGCAGCTGGCTGGGATTCCTGTAAAAGTCACAGTGCGTTAAACAATGGGTCTTAATTAGGTACACAGCAGTTTAACTAGATAGAAGACAATGAGCAATTCAATAGTCCATTTATGTGCTTAGATGTTAAACTCCAACTGGACCTGAACAAGAAAAAAAACCCGGAAAGAATAGTGGGATTCTCTAAAARGGCTTTCACTGACAGTTTCCAGCTCTTATTCACTGGCTAGCTGCTCCTTCTGAGGTATTTATAGCTGCTATTGATTGAGGCAGATTTAGCTAAGGAGGAAAAGCAGCACTTCAGTCTTAGCAGCAMCCTACATGTGCGTCTGTGTGTTTGGTTGTGTGTAAATGAACGTCGTACGTCACGGTCACTAGCTGTGTGGCTGTCACCGGCTCTCGGCCTGAACGTGTCACTGCTTTGCCTCTCACCGTTCGCACTCCATTAAACTGTAAACACAAACATCATTGCATATTAAAAAGGCCCCGACAGCTGTTGCACTGTCCTCTCCAAATAAATCTATCGGCTTTAGCGGCCCCTGCACGCATTTAGTCACCCGATCAATCCGAGCTGGTGGCTTGACTTCCTGTAGGCGGCGCCTGTGTGAACACGGAGCTGCTGGGGCCTTCTGTTTAGGCTGCTGATGGATGACTAATCGGCCATCTAAAGAGCTCCGAGATTGACTGAAGACTCCGGGCGAACAGCCAACATACTGTTGAAGCTGCCATGACGCAGTCCACTTTCAGAGATCCTGCAGGTGGTCAATCATGGGGATAAAACTGCAAGTATTTATGGCTTAGGGAAGGAAATGAACCTCAATGAGAATGAGGAGAGAGAAACTTTCCGATGCTCTTGACACGCATCCTCCAATCCTCGACATAATGAGCGGATTAAACTGGATGTGTGGACTTAACACTGATATTTGCACAAATATAGCTCCTGCCATTGGATGGCGCAGTGGTAATTACTGTGATTATGTGCAAAACAGTGATGCAGCTGCTGTAGGTACGAGCCTCAGCCCAGCACAATCAGCAGCYAAGACGGAGCTTTAATCACAGAGAAGTGGCCTGTGGCAGCTTTTACCCAATGTTTACCAGAGCCGTGCTGCAGGGGTCCAGCAGTGTAGGTTTTACAGTTGCTGACACTGATCTTTAGAATTCAGTCAATTTGTTGGCAAATACTTAAATACTTTTGCTAATTTGATTTTTATGCTAGATTTCGGTGAATAATTGTAACAGATATTAGTCACAAACAGTGATCTACTAGATTTTGAATAAAGAATAAAGAAACTAAACCAATATTAACTAAATAACCTGCTGCCCTCCAGTAGAAGGTACAGGAGCATTAAGAGCCGCACCAACAGACCCAAAAACAGTTTCTTCTCATGAGCCCATCTGGACTCTGAACYCCAGCCAAACATCTAAAGAACAATAAGTACTTCATTATTAGTCTTGTCTCTGTATATATTGCTGTTGTTATACATGTCTTTCTAAGTTYAATTTCCTTGTACAGGTTTGTGCAATGACAAAGACTATTCTATTCTAAATATAGGCAAACGCTAACAGCAGGGCGTTTGATAGTTATTAGTGGGAACGCATGTCCAAATGTATTTATTTGTGTATAATACGATCTCATGTATAATATTACACCCCCCTTTTTAAGCTCAAAAAGCATAAAAAATTWAATTCTCATACTACCTCTAATTTCARACGGACTTCAGGATTTTTCAGCCTTTGTAATCTTTATACTAGAGGTGGGAATCTTTTACTATCTCACGATTCAATTCAAAATCGATTTTTCATTCAAAACTGATAATGTGAGCCCGTTTGTTGTGTTCCCGAAGTGCTTCATCTTCATTTTGCAAACCTTGCTCATGTCAAACTCAGACTCATTCAGTAAAAAACAAAATGAGCCCAAATCTTTGCATTCAATGACGGTGGGGCCAGTTGAATCTCTCTTTCCTCCTGTTTTGTAGTTTCCTCTTTGTTTTGGTTTTTTCTGTACATTCATATGTTCCAGAAGCAGCTGCGTGATGACATCAGGAWGTCCCATGTAGTTACAAAATGGAGGCTGACAGCCATTGGATCTGCTTTATTTTTTTATTTATAAAAATCAATTTTGGGACATTTTAAATCGATTCTGAATCTTTGTAAATAAGAATCACGATTCTGATGTAAAATGATTTTTGGTACACCCCTACTTTATACATATCAGTAAAGTTACCAATTGACTGTCCTGATGCATCTCAGTAATCCAGGTAAAAAATCAAAAGGAAAAAAAAAATTGCATAGGTCCTCTTATATATATAGTCTTATATATATAGTCTCTTGGAAGAGAGACGAAACATTTCATTAAAGAAGAACCCCTCCAGAGGACCTATACAATTTTTTTCCTTACCAATTGACTGTTGTGTCAGTTTTTGTTTATTTTATTTTAACAACACATGTACTAAAATGTACACAACAACAAACATATAACTACAACAAAAACTATCAAAGTGAAATTCAGCAATGCTCGTTTGTTAACTGGTGTGATATAACAAGCAGATAGAGCTGTGTGGTTCTAACAAGTGTGGATGAAGCTGAATCAAAAGCCTTCAAAATCAGGCTCATCATCATCTGTATCATTAAATGTTTCTGGTATTCCTCCTCTGTAACAAAGGCATCAGTATCCCACTCAACAACAATCTCACCCTCTGTGTCTCGAGAGCCCTCCCTGGTGGGGAAACTTTTTTCAGGCAGACCAACTTTTTCAGAACKCTGGTAGCCATCACAGTGTGTTTATTGTTGTTCCAGGAGCGGCTCGGTCAAACATTAGTGCCATTAGTTCGTTATCATTACTGAGCTGCAGGACTGACTTTTTGTCCCTTTTMTTTCACATCATGTCACCAGCATGGATCTGTTACTATCTCGCTCTGAGGCACAAAGGAGTGTCAGGTAAGCTCGTTTCAACCGCTTTTTACGACGTGGTCTCATTTCCGGACTCAGGCATTTTGTGAATGAGGCCAATATTTCAGTTAAAATAGAGAAGCAAAAATATTGATCTGAGTATAGTTCTACCCCCCAACTTTATGGATGATTTTATCGATTTCATTTTTCATACTACACTTGAATAAATGCAGTATATATAAACATAAACATACTTTTAAGTAGTGGTTCCTTACCTTTTTTGGTATTTTATCATTCATTTATTAATAATAAATTCCAGATAATTTTTATATGGAAAGAAAAATAAACAGCCACCCTGAGTTATCAAGATGTTTGAAGCAACTGCTTTTCTTTGTTTGTTTGTTTGTTTTTTGTTTTGTTTTGTTTTTTAATTGTGACAAAGAGGTACAGATTTTTGCAAATATGAGACCTAAACTATGTGGCTAGCCTTTGTTTTGGTTTTTTGTCCATTTAAAATCAATCTAAACAGAGATGAGGCCCTCACACCTGCCGAGAGAAATACGAACCATCAGTCATGATTTTTTTTTTTTATTATAACGTGTAAATGTCGGAAACAAAATTAACTTCTTCTCGATAGATCTGATAAAACACATTTATAAATCCAATGAACCATTTCTGTTCCTGTTTGATGATTTTTTTTTCTTTAATATTTTGTAAGAGTGCAGCATCTATGTAGAGCTGGGGTTCTCCAGCCATTTGGGTCTGGGGACCCCTTACAAGGGTGAAAAAGTTCCAGGGACCCCCTCATGAACCCCATACTGTTTTAAAAGATAATTTATTGTCATTTCAACCCCTAAATGCCATGGGAATATATATTTTTATTAAGTTTATTATATTTGTTTTATTAGTTCATTGTTCTCCATGCATTCTTAAAAATAAAAACAAAATTAACAATTTAGTGAAATTTTTTGAGGACCCCCAAGATACCTCTTGCGGACCCCAGTTTGAGAACCTCTGCTTTAGAGGTAATGTTTTAAAGGGTTTTGTCCACAAAGAATACTGTTTTCATTGCAAATGCATCTAAGTTTGGTATAATTTAGATTTTTCCTTTAATAATAATAAATTCCAGATCATCTTTTCTTTCTCCAAAAACACCAAATTCTTTGTCAAACACAGCCCTGTGTGTAAGAACAGTGTCTGGTGCATGTACATGTTTGACCAGACTTTTAATAAGTGTTTTAGTGTATTTTTTATTTTGTACATGTGCAAACCATATTGACAGCATCAAGCACTGACGCACACACCTCAAGTTGGGAACTCTGCTTTAAAGCATCCTTCCAAATATTAAAATAATAAAACCTTAACATTTTCACAAGTTAGTGGAATGTTCTGGATAAGTTCCCCTGAGATCAGCCGGTGTTTTGCCACATAAAAAAAAACAGTTTGGATTTTATAAACAAATTGTACCCCATGGAGCTTTAATATTAGGTTTTATGAATAAAAATTACATTTTCGATGCAGAAAATATTGGTATCGTACCTAGCCAGCGCTTGCACTTTGCCTGTGTGTCGTTCTTCCAGCTCTGCCAGCTTCTTCTTCAATAAATCGGTTTCCTGCCTCAGGCCTGCCGAGTGCTCCATCTCTCCATCCAACAGACTGCGAAGAGACCTTTAAAAACATCACATCCCTGTTAGCGCGCCACATAATGTAGGTTTGTGTCACATCACATTCAGGTGAAGGCTCTAATCCTTCCGAGACATAATCCCCCGAATAAACACAGGCCTTCTGGTGATGTTAGTTTCATAAACAATAGATTAGATAAATGCCACTTTAATTGCAGRGCTAAATGAGAAGATGAATCACAATTAGCACCAACGTAAAACACTTCATCACCGCAAATCTGTGACCGCATCGTTTTTAATGCCCTAAGTGGAAATCATAGTTTATCATGAAAATCTAAATACTGCTTGGCAGGTTGACATTAGTATGATTAACAGGGTAGGTGRGTTAACATAATTCTTTTATTTAGGGGGGAGGGGTCTTTTTAATGAGACAATATTAAATTTGGCTTGCCGTTTTTGCAACATTTTAGTGTGGGAGATAACATACGTGTTTTGTTCCTCCAGCTCGTCCTTCCTGTTCATCATGGCAACAATGGCCTGACGCAGCTCCACTGAAGAAGACAGAAACCAGAGGAAAACATCATCTCTGCTACCTCAGAGACTTTCACTACACAATTAAYACAGCTAATGTGTGGCTTCATAGCTATGGAGTATTTTCTATTGCCRAAACTGTCTGCAGTCCAAATCTGCCTCTACTGAACATTTGTGACGCGTCATAAAAAGGAAAATCAAAAARAAAACCARCACAACTGTTGCACAGCTGAAATCTTGTTTTGGTTACAAGATTCATGACCCTCTGTGAAGTATGAATAGTTTTGGGTATTCAAGTTTCTAGTTATTTTTTGGGACCGTGCACAACAGCATTACACACCAAACAAAGCAGCTGCATTATACAACACTTAGCCACTGGCTGAGAGACATAATCCAAACAGAATAATAAACCCACCAGCCTGAATTCATGCTCTAAGAAAAGAACAATGCGTAAAAAACAAATACAAACCATTGCTACTGAATATACATACAAACACAAAAAAAAACTCTAAGTGTATATATTTTTTAATTGGGCCAGCACAGCGAGAAGGTTGCAGGTTTGTCTTTCTTTGTTAATTGGAATGTTCTCCCCATACGATGGTGGGTTTTCTCCCAGTACTCTGGATTCCTCTCACAGAAACATGCATGCAGGTTAACTTGTAACTATTTTATCCCTTGATCTGACTGAGAGTGCGAATGTTTACGTGTCTCGTTTGCCTCTATGTGGTCTTAACAGATTTGCGACCGGTCCTGGGTATCCTCCACCTACTAGGCTCTTTCAGAAGATGCCCCCATACCGTTACTGATGCGTGTTCTGACTACCTCCATCCATTCAGAAGACACACAGAGGTGGACAGAGGGGACTGAAACACCCCGCCTTTGTTCCTCTGAGTGAGGAAGTAAAAAGGCTACAATTCTTTATCGGCACAAAGAATGGCTAAAAATATGCAGCAGCGTGGATTCAACCATGATAACAGCTTATTATGGTTATTATAAAACTTTAAAAAGACGTGCTTGACCGTATTTGGATCTCTGCAATGGATATAAGAGGCAAGGAACTTTCTGCGACTCATAAGCAGCTTGAGTGACAGCAACACGTCAGAGGAGCTGAGTTTCTTTGTCTGTGACTTCTGAACTGCCAGAGGGGCTGTTTGGCTGTTTAGCGGGACTGTCAGTGGTGGGCACTAGTCCCCTAAAGGGCAAAAGTGCTAATTGTGGACCTAAACTTGGCACTTTACTAAATTTCTAAATTTAAAAATTGAGTAGCGCTAATCTAAACTTTTCATTGAGTTTTTATCATCAATACTGTCTATAGCGGAGAAAGAAAGCTGTCTAAACTCACTATGTTGTGTAACCATGTCTTGTTAATGTTTCATCATTTTCTTCACATAATCACTAGAATATATTCTGCTGAACTCTGAGACAGATTTGCGCTTTAGATTTAGCTTCCTCTAAGTTTCCTTGGGCATATGTGCTTTAGAACTTGTGGACCTGAATAATTTTACTAGCTCTTCAGAATTTGCACAACTAACTTTTGAATTGGCGCTAGCTGCCCACCACTGTCTTCTGAAAGAGGCACCAGCTCCATCACAAACAGGAAAGGAAAAGCAGGTAAAGGAAATGAATGAATGGAAGGRCATTTTCCACTACTTCTGATTTTAGGTTCTTTGTTTTCACTATGTAGTATTTTAGAATTTAAAAAGAAATATCAGTTTGATCTGAGATTAAACTTAATTGTTGCAGACAAACTGCTATGAGATAATTTCAGTGTTTCTGAAAAGGAGCTGAGCACCTCTGGTGGTCAGAGGGGCCGGTGGCGCAGTATGGCAGCACCACCTTTGTCAGTCTGCTCCAGGGCACCTGTTGCAACACCGTAGTTTACCATCATCAGTGTGTGAATGTGTGTGAATGAATGATACATGAAATTGTGAAGCATTTTTGAGGGTCTCGAAAAGCACTATATATGACTAATGCATAATTAATATTACAGAAATCAAAGAATAAATGATCAAAATACTTCATCTTAAAATAATGAAAAGAAGTAGACCCAATTTTTTCAGGTTTTTTACATTTCACCTGGTGAAACACCAGATTTATTCTATAAAAATGTGTCAGCAACAGAAACAATACGTGACAAATGAATTCGAAATGAATTCAACAGTTTAGTGAAGTGCTAGGATGTATTTGTGTTACATGTCCTTGCAATTCTCTGCATCATTCCAGGCTTGAAGTATCAGTGTGCAAGCTGCCTGATGGTGTTAATCTCCATCTTGATATTAGGGACAGATTCAGGCCGAGCTGTGCGCCGGCGCAGTGACTCATCGTCACAGTTACAGTGTGCCCGGAGGTTTCACAAAAAAGATTTTGAAGCCCGCTAACTTGGCCTTTACTGGGACTTCCCAAAATAACAACCGTGAGACAGGGAGTTTATCTACCCTGCACCCTGCATTTCTACAGATGCACAGGAACCACAATTTCATTTTCACTACTACATGTTGCTAATGCTGCCCCAAATACTACTTGGTTTATTCCAGCCGGAAGCTAGGAGCTGTTTTTTTTTAATCTTTTTTTTAAGCTGGGGCAGGTTAAAAAGCACAGACTTGAGAAGAGGAAAAAAGAGGAAATCTCTTATCTCAGCTTCTTCATTCTCCTCAACAGCAGGCCAGAAATAAAAGTGACCTTTAGTCCAACCACACATTCACAGCGGGTGCCACCGATGAACCATTAGGGACTGCACTTAGATATACTTACACCCCTCACAAGCAAATTACAAAAGCACGATGGACATGTGGGAACATGCATACATGTGTCCATATATTTAAGAGCCGCCTTTTAAAGGGAAAAAAACATGTCCATGTGCATGTTGTACCTTTACCAGAATGTAGTCACTTATGTGTTCCAGGAATAGGTGAAATAATAAAGTCAWGTAATCATGGTGCCTTGTGAATCACAGACTCCATAGTTTTGACAATCAGTGAACTCACATCCTATTAAATCCATCTAGAAAAATCACTACGGAGAGCTCACATTACCTGTGCTGAAAGCCATTTCAGCACAGGCATTTTTTTTTTTTTTGCAGTTTTAATAGCTGAACAGGTTCTTAATAAATCTGCGTGTGTGAAATGGAAATCAATGCGCTGTCCAATAAAGGATGTTTGGGAGAATGTGTCTGTGTTTGCAGATTCCTAAAAGGGGAAAACCCTTCTTCCTTCACGCCAAGCATCCACACGTCACATTGTTAATTTTCTTTTTATGAACTTCTTTGAATCACTGTGTGAGCAAATCAACTGGTCTTTAAACTCCTGACAGAAACCGATTCTTTGGGAGGGGTGCAACCAGCACCACTGGATCCAAAGCCATGGTTCTCAACTTGTTCATGAGTGATGTTTGAGTGGAAGACAGATCAATGACTCGGGGCTCCGTCTGCAGTATTGAGGTTGCTGATTTGGTCTGCCAAGGTGAAGACAGTCCAAGCTCATGATTAACTGGTCTATCTACCTTCCAACCCTCCCCTTCGGTCATGAGGTTTGGATCATGACTGAAAGAACGAAATCCCAGCTCAAGCGACTGAAATGAGCTTCCTCCGTCAGGTAGCCGGGTTCAGAGTTAAGGCTTTCCATCATCTCCAGGGGGAGCTCGGATTAGAGCCGCTGCTCCTCTAAATTGAAAGGAATGATCTGAAATGGTTCAGATAGATCAGCGTACCTCTCTCTTTAGCCTAAGAATGCTTTAGGGTTCCTTAGAATGAGCTGGTGAGTGTCACSGAGTAGAGCCATGTGTAAGTTTCCTTCTTAGACCTGCCACCTCCACGACCACAGGTCAGCATAAGAAAACGCTCAAGATGAACTTAAAGATGAAGTCTTGGCGGAGCCAAGGTAAGCAGATCTATTAAAAAAACGTTTCATACACGGTGTCCTCATTYTGATGGATGAAAAGATTTACAGCAAAGTCACTTCAGTGACATCAGGTAGAATAAGTAATTAACAGTTCTATCTTTGAATATCAAGCTTAAGGCCGGCTCACACTGTGTGATTTTAAAAACGGTACTTTCTGAGCCGAGTTTACTTTAGCATTTTGGTCACAATAACAGTCTGATWATCAGTAAATATGGGTTCTTACCTCATAATAGTTGTGTTTCAGTATCTTCAAGTTTTTCTGCACGAGTGTGTCTGTGTGTAATATGTGTAGTTTTATGGTTGATGAGGTAATATGTATATTGAGGTAACTAAAGTTCGGCAGCTTTGTGATGCTAGTCTTTAGCAGCTTTCTGCCCATCCACAAAAAATGAGTTTGGGACATTACACATGACTATAATTTTGGCATCAGTCATGTTTGGAATCACTGTCTCYTCCTTAGCGGTGACCTGACTGCATCGCAGAAACACTCTTCACACAGTGTGGCATGCTCCGTTTATTGAACTGCGTGGTATTCAAACAGGCGGCGTAAACAAGTCATTAAATTGTTCAAAATAATGAAACTGTGCATCCCAAACTTTTACCTAAAGCCTTTTTGCTTTTTCCAATTTATTTTTAATGAGTTGCAAAGCTGAAAAGCAGGACTCAGTGCATGCAAACAAATTAAGCGTACCATAAAGGAAATGGATGTCGACATTAATTCAATTGATAATAAATTAAAAGTAAAAATACATTTAAGTATTACAGCATTTTGTCTCATTCTGTCAACTGAACTTCTGCTTCGGGGTTGCATAATGCATGAATTATTTGAGGTAACCATTTTCTCAGGTGCATCAGCCCTGAGAGCTACTCTGAACTCAGTATAATAAATTGGTGAAGCATTCCTTTAATCTTTACCTTTATGCAGATAAGAGTGGGATGAATTGGTGCTGCAGGTGAACACGATGCAAATGATGTTTGTCTTGCTTTGCAGGGAAAATGTACAGTGAAATGTTCTTGGAAAATCATCACATTATCATTTTTGGCGTGTCGATTTTCCTCGAGTAAGGTATCTTTTTAATTTTTTTTGTCCTTTTACCTTCTCTTGGGTTTTCTACATTTCCAAAAGCAATGTTGCACAAACCCCTGGAGAGTCCTCCTTTTGGAACAGATGAGCGAACGGAAGGAGTCAAAGCTACCGAGCCGGCGACAGGAGAGGAAAGAGGTGAGAAATTATTCTTTAAATCTYGTTTAGGTTCCTCCACACTAGACTTCTGAGACAAGCAGGCGTAGATAACAGTGTCTCTGTCAGGATGGATTTCACCCTGAGTCATGTGAGTGAGTGTGAAAGCTGTTCCCTGCTCCTCAACTCAGAAAGGCCTAAATGTGATGTTATGGTGTTTGTTTTAAATAAAAAACCTTCTGGTTTGCTCAGACTGAGTTTTCCATTTTTGCCTCTCCATATTTCAGATCTCCTGCTTTCTTTTTGTCCTCTCTCTGACCCTGTGAACTCACTGAGAACTAATAAACTGAACCGGGGCTCAATCCTGGCACCTCTGAGCAGCTCAGCGCACCATTTCTCCRTTAGCTCTTTCGTTCATAAACGGGAAATTTTAAAAATAAATAAATAAAAGAATCACACAGCATCCATCTGAAGGTTTAAGCTCTGATTAGCTCCAAGGCACAGACACCAACCACACAGCAGGCAGCAGCGAGTCGCACAGACGGAAAGTTCATCCTTCCTTTTTATTTTCTTTTTTTTTTAAATCCACGTCACAAATGTGATGTAGAATGAGGACATTCATATGATCAAATTTTTACTTTTTTATTTTTTGACAAGAAAAAAATCTTCCAAGAAGAGCAAAGGAGATCTACATGAGCACATACAGTAGATTCAGTAATAATGTCACCAATCTGGATCAACACTGCCCCCTGCTGGATTGTGTGATAACACAACAATATGAAGAAATCAATGCCAGATCTCTCAACTTCAACCAAACAAATCACTGCATCTYCAAAGGAAATGAACAGGAAACCACAGAGCAAGTTCCATTGATTTTTTTTTCTACAAGCTCATTTTTAAAGAAGTACCTGTCAGGACATGGAAGGGGTTCTGTACCTTAAAACTTCCCATAAAACTTGTAATGTTTTTGCATCTCTAGCTTCAGAAAAAACATTTAAATTTTTGATTTTGAATGTCTGCAGGAGAGATTTTTTTTTTAATGAAATGATGCATGTATCATACCATAGCATATGGTTTCTTACAGAGCGATCCAAATGCAGTGACTGACTTTGTGTGTGTGAAAAACCATGGTGCTCTGGTCCTCTGATGCTGGCTCACGTGTAGCATAACCAACCCTGATGATTCATCTCACAGAACAGGTTTGGAAACTAGAAGAGTGACAACTGGTCCAAGACAAACAAACAGAAAAAATAGAGACAAGGATACACTTACCCACTGTCYTGGACTCTGGTAAACTGGATGTTGGCAACATAGTGGAGAGTGGAGTAGAGAGCACTGGTGGACTGGACTCCATACTGAGACAAACCAGGAYAGAAACAGATAACTCTCTGAGTAATCCTTTTATTTATTTTGCARATGCTACATGGCTCCAGAGAGGTTAGCCTGCTCAGTCCCATAGGATAGGAATCTTCCGTGCTCCCAACAACCCTCACAGATTTTTAGCTTACTTGAAAGCGAGCTGCGATCTGCTGCTCTCACAAWTTTCCACCGATTCTGTCGAGTCACACTGAACAGGAAACACAGCCGCGTCCTCCACGGAGCTCGCTGGGGGGAAAAGGAAAGTGAAGCTGAATGTGCGGGCCGACACAGAAAGTACCTACATTTCATCTGACAGGCAGCAAACTCCTTCGCTGAAGTTGGAAGCAGCCTTTGGCAGGAAGCAGAGAGTCATAAACACGTAACATTCTTGAAATGAATGCATGCTCAAGAGATGGATAAGTGMTTTTTGTCGCTGAGGGTGTAGTACCTGTCTGAGGATCTGCAGGATTCACAGGAATCAGGATGTCTGAGCTGCTCTGGTTAACCATGGGCTGCAGAGGACTCCACGTGGACACACTGGACAGACTGCCCACCACCATCCTGACACGAGACCACATCCCTCTCAGTCAGTCCAAAGTGCACTGCACCGCCCAACTCGTCATTTTTAAGATACGCAGGATGAAAAATCATGCAATTTTACCATTTGGACGCGTTTTTTAATACTTTTCGGAGCAGATATRAAAGCATTCAGTAGATACACAAAGTCTACACCTCAACGGTTAAATGACAGGGCCGAAATGAGGCCAATCAAAACTTTTCCCATCTTTAATGTMACATCTATTGTGTCTGTGTGTGTTGAGTTCAACTGAAAAACAAATCTGTTCAGGAAGAAAATATTTGAAAAGCGACCCACACAGTGTGGCGCTGCCACCACCGTGTTTAACTGTGTAGATGGTGTTTGTTCCTGCAACACATATGACTTTTTAAATTGTGGCCAAAAGGTTCGGCTTTAGCTTCATTTGCTGCTAGAAGACTCCATGTTTCTGAAAGGGGTTTGGTTGTTTTTATGTCACAGAACAGACATACGAAGAACACCAGAACTTCCTGCAGCTCCTTTAGTGCTACAAACTGAGACTTCCCTGTRTTGTCTTTGCTTTGATTTTGGTTGGAAGTCCAGTTTTACAATAATGTCAGTGTTGTCTCAGCTTATGTAGCTGAGTAAATCCTTCYCCCAACTATACTTTCCAGCTCATCCTGGGGGGCCCCGAGGCATTCTCAGGACAGAGAAGATACATAGCCCCTTTAGAGCCATGGGTCTGCCCCAGGGCTTCTTTCCATTATGATACCCAAAAAACCTCTAAAGGGAGGCATCAAAGAGGCATCCTAATCCAGTGCTCAAACCACCTCAGCTGACTCGTTCCAATGTGGAGGAGCTGCAGCTCTACTCCAAGCTCCCAACGGACGACGGAGCACCTATCTCGAAGATTTTGTTCCATTGGAGCGAAAGTTGGACCAAAGGATTGGGGCCTCGTGCTCAGTTGAGAGCAGGCGTTCTGCCTCCTGATGTGGAGGTGAGTCGATGCAAAGGGGTTTTTAGAAGAAGAACTTTTGTGTGAATTGTGTGATTTAGGTGTAATTGAAGATGAATTTCATTTTGTTGCTTTATTGTCCTGTGTATAACGATTTGAGAATGTCTATGTTTGAAAAGATCCAGTATAAAAATCCTGATTTATTTTGGTGGTTGAAGGGTGATATTTTGAGTGGACTTTTTGAAAAGGAAGTGTTTTCGTTGGTCAAATTTATAGAAAGGGTATGGGTTAGGTCAGACATAAGGCATTGTATCCTGTGTGTTGAAATTAGTGCTGGGCGGTATGACCCAAATTTTATATCACAGTATTTTCAACACTTATACCGGTATCACTGTATTTTTCTTTTCATCACAGCTCAGCTGTTAAAAGTACAAACGCTGCTTATTGATCAGCAAACTGCAGTCAGCTGAATTTACTGTCTTTCTGCATCACAGAAACTATTTCTTGACTTTTTTTCTTTTACGTTGCCTCTGTCTGTGTCACTGTTTCCTCCTCTACATGTGTTCTTCTCTGCCTGGTTGTAGACAGTATTTACGGTCATGAAGGAGGGGGTTGAGCAAAGATCATCAGATTTACAACCCCTGGCAAAAAGTATTGAATCACCAGTCTTGGATGAGCACTCATTCAAACATTTCATTCTGTGAAACAAACTCAGATCAAAAACATGATACAATAATAAGGTCATTCCAAAGTGCAACTTGTTGGCTTTCAGGAACACTCAAAAGAAATGAAGAGAAAACATTGTGGAAGTCAGTGAATGTTACTTACAGGGAAAAAAATATGGAATCACTCAATTCTGAGGAAAACGGTATGGAATTATGAAAAACAGATAAACAAAAGGCCATTCAAAATACATCACTAGTATTTAGTTGCACCACCTTTGGCTTTTATAACAGCTTSCAGTCTCTGAGGCATGGATTTGATGAGTGACAAACAGTATTCTTCATCAGTTTGGTGCCATTTTTCTTTGATAGCAGTTGCCAGATCAACTGTGGAGGTCGGAGCCTTCTTGTGGACCATTGTTTCAATTTCCACCACAGGTTTTCAATTGGGTTGAGATCTGGACTATTTGCAGGCCATGACATCGACTGAATGTGTCTTTCTCCAAGGAATGCCTTCACTGTTTTTGCCCTATGGCACGATGCATTGTCATCTTGGAAAATTATTTCATCACCTTCAAACACCTGTTCGATTGAAGGGATGAGAAAACTGTCCAAAACATCAATGTAAATTTGTGCATTGATAGAGGAATTAACCACAGTCATCTCCCCAGTGCCTTTGCCTGACATGCAGCCCCATATCATTGTAAGGGATGAGTTATTTATTCAAATAACTTATCTCACAC